GCGGTAGTTATGGGGCATGCATGATCGACATACGGTAGCTAGGTCGATCGCAGAGCCGTCCGATCATATCTATTGCCCTTTACGACGCATCACTGTTGGTGTATCCATGTGCTCCAGAGTTTTATTTGCTGGGTTGCTGCTGCATGACCGACCTGATGACAGAAACCACCATCATATCGATATGATGATGATGGGAAAGCAAAGCATGCACAGTAGTATAGGTGCAGTGCTGCGTACGTAACGTGTAGCAGCTAGCGGCAGCGGCTCCCACCTGGCGTAATTAGCTAGGGTAGTACTACTCCATAATGACGTACTAACGAGGTGTGCTAAAGGAAGAAATCGATTATCGACCAAGCTAGCTACTACCAGTAGCTAGCAGGTATGAACTGACGGCTAGCTGTTTGAATTTGAATTGAATCTGGAGTCGTCCCCTGCTGCCTCCTGCGTCCTGCCTGCCTAGATAGCTGGATGCTTGCATGTAAATGGAGGCCGTACCGTACCCTCTCTGGTCGAGCTGCGGATCCAAGCCAGAAGATGATGGCCATGACCATGATCGACCGAGGCGCCGTCCATCGAGCTGAAAGAGAATGAGGGTAGCGATCGATCGGATGATGTGTTGTGTTGTCGTTCATATTCATACATGGAATGGATCAGTTTGGGTACATCATAGGCTATCTCTAACGACAACACACAAAATACAAGATCCATTCGTCCTTTGGGTAGCGTTTCAGACAAAAGATTCAATACATATTCGACATCTTCTCCAACAACAAGATCCAAAAGAGAATCATTTCTGTAAATGAGTTTCCAGGAGAGACGTTGCTCATATTTGGATTGTACCTCTCATACAACCCAAAATAGGTCTCCCATATAGGTACTATGTTGGAGGCTGATTTTGATCTCTCGCTATCCATTTTAGCTTTAGGTGTCTATATAAGTTCCTCGTTGAAGACGGTATAAATGATACGATTAAAGGCCCTGTATGTAGATCCCGTAGCACTAGCAGCACTGTGTATGTACTGACTATGATGACGACTAAACAAGGCCGGCGCGGCTCGTACACGTACGGTGCAAACTGAATTATTCCATGGAGAGTAAAAGGATGCTGGTACGTATAGTACTACATATCTGCAATTGTACGTCTAATTTATGGTCGTTTATGCGCGTACGGATGTTAAGGAGATCAACAGTGCTCATGCATGTATATACCGTGACGACACCGATCGACCGGATACACCGTACCATACATGCTATCGCTGTCGATCGGACAGTACACTCGTTCTGCCCTCCGGCCTCGCATTCTACATGCATCTCCCTATACACCCTATTTGCAAGATGCAATTCACCACACGCGTGCGAGAATTCGATCCTTTTTAGATTTTATTTATGGTCTAATAAAGTTTATTAGTTAGCTACTAAACTTTATAACACTTTAGCTCACTTATTATCTAGCCTAAAAAATTAATGGTTTTCTTGTAAGATTGACTAAACTTTAGACAACGACGTTTTAGGTCCTGTTTGGAGCTTAAAAACTAAAGATTAGTGGCTGAACTGATGACCTAGACCGGGCCTTAGAGCATCTCCAAGAGTTTCTAAAACCCACTCCCATTCTTGAGTTTTTGGCAGGATTGAAAAAAATTGGTCTAAAGAAACTCCCTATCTTAACTCCCAATCTTTCCGCACTTAGGAAAATCGACCCAGTTGAGCGGAAATATACACACGCATAACCATCGTCAATCTAAAGGTGAAAGGATGTGTGGAGAAGAATAAGGAGTAAGATAGGATTTCTAAGGCCCCGTTTGGCAGGGTTTCTCCACCAGCTTCAGGAGCCGTTTGGAGCCGTTTTCTGTTAAACGGGGTAAAGTGAAATAACTTCACTGGTGAAGCCCCTAAAAATATGCTCTCACAATGATTTGGGGTGGGATGGAGCAAAAAAAAAGTGGCTTCTCCCGGCTCCTCCTTTAGGCCCCTAAAAACATGCTCTCACAGGAAAGCCATTTTACCAAACGGTTTACCAAAACCGCTTCAGCTCCACCGGTGGAACTGTTCGTGGAGCTGAAGCAAAAAAAAAATGGCTTCACTAGTGAAGTGTAGCCCTACCAAACAGGGCCTAATATAGATGTACACGAGAGAAAGAAAAGTACAAAAGCAGTTAGATAGGGTAATTTAGAAAAAGTCTAGAATTTCTGATGCAAAATCGTCTTCTATATTTAAGGAGAAGGATTTTGAAAACTATTGGAGAAGCTCAATAAATATATGTCTATCTTTTTTAGTCACTTGGAAAACTAATTGATTTACCAATTTTTTAGAACTATCGTAGACGCTGTTAGCAAGTTTAGCAGGAGCAAGGAATACGAGGCTGCAACTGGGCCGGAAAGTTTATTGGGAAATGAGTTTTTCGAGCCCTGCAGATTTGCTTCTCAGATGACGGTACCACTTGGAGAAGGCCCAACAACATATAGACAGGCCTATTCTCCAACGTCCGTACTCACTCTTTTCTTCTTCTTCTTCTTCTTCTTCTTCCAATTTTTCCAATTCCTTCATTTTAGCCATTCAAACCGGCCCATTGTGACTCTATTTCGGAAGCAACAGCAAATATACATTTATATATTTCTATTTCTATACTTATATAAAGATATATGTCAAGGGTCTAGTTTTCATCATATATGATTTTTGTTCAATATGATTAAATTGCCACTGAGAATTTGGAAAAATGGACATCTCTATTTTGAGAATTTAATAAAAACAAATTTGATGTTCTAAATGTTGGTGCATTTCCTACAAACTTGATTAAAGTTGAAGAAAATTGATTTAGGACAAAACCAAGATGAACATTTTTTTAGAAAAAGGAACAATCTTTATTCCAGGCCTCTACATGAGTCGTGCACACAACCAAGCATAATTAAAAGTTTCAGCCTCTGGCTGAAAAACAAAAACTAGCAAAAAGCTAAACGATTTCTTAGCACAAAGCACAAATTCAAATAGCAAAGGCCTTTAATTTAGAACTCATTATATTTATATCTGAAAAACTCATTAGATTCCTCTGAATTAGTTATCTTGTTGTAAACATTGTATATTTATGCCTTCTTTGGCAGAGTTTGGGTTTCTACATAATTGCCCTGTTCGTTTCGCTGAAATTTAGCTTATGCTGATTTGTTATGACAGAAAAACACTGTTCGTTCGCTGAAAAGTACTGCTGAAGTAGTGAGAAAGCCATGTGTTTAGTGGCTTCAACTTTACCCTTTTTAGCTTTATTTTGAGTTAAGAAGCCGTTCTCATATGTAAATGTTTGGGAGGGCCAATGGACAAACCTAACAAAACTATAGCAAAGAGGGTCTTAGAATGGAAAGAAGTAAATAACAACGAATGAGCACCAAAAGATAATATGGAATAACAACAATATGGCCATGTTCGCTTGTCTTATAATCCGTACTTTTTAGCTTGTTTTTTCAGTCGGAACAGTGTTTTCTCTCTCATAACAAATCAGCCGAAACAATGTTTCGACTTGTTTTTTCAGCGAAGTGAACGGGGCCTATATAGGCATGTCCGATGAAAGTTACTATGAGAAGTAGCCTCTAGGCCAAAAGAAGGAAAAAACAAACGAAACAAAACCCTCAAAATACGTACTCTTCAAAGCATAACTTTGACTTCTTATTTCTATAAAAATATTTATTGAAAGGTGTTATATATATATATTTATGAAAGTATTTTTCAAGACAAATCTATTCATGTGGTTTTCACATTGTCAAACTCAACAATTTAAAAATTATTCATGATTTATATCCCCAATGTTTGACTAAAATCTTATCAAAAAATGACTTCTTTTTTACCAACATGGAGGGAGCAGGGAGTAGGTGATTTAATCGTCTCAATCATCCCCCGATTGATTTGATTGACAAATGTGAATTAGAAGATGTCAATATGGCTTGAGTTGAGAGCTAACAACGTCGCGGTCACCAAATTTAAAGTTGTGCCGACATTGTTGAAATGAAACTTAGACTGAGAGGATCTTAACTTAGCATAAACATGATCACTAACTCAAACTTATGCGGAATGTATCTTAGTAACTAACCAGAGCCCGCGGACGCCATCTGTATCGTTAGATATGCGATGGAGGTCGTAGATGTAGCAGATGCTTTTAGTTCACCGCCTGAGGACTTGAACGCCCTCTGTCGGTGAAGAACGTGAGGAGCCGGGTAGCTGCTGCCTTCTGGACCGAGATGGACCTGGATGGGATAAACGTGGGTGATGGCCTTCCTAAACCCTCCAACGCCTAATTGATCGGTTATGTGAATAGTCACAGGGATGAATGGGATAGAGACGTCAGGGGCGCCTCCTCTTATTTATAGTTGCGCTGTGGGCCAGGGGGGCGAACCTTTAGAATTCTAAGGGTTGTGGCCGATCACGACAATTCTTATTTAGCTGGAAATGAATGACGAGTGGTGGACCAAAAGCTTAACGCTTAATTAATCTCATAATTAAGTTCGGGATTAGCCGAACCGATCACATTCCAATAGACATTTGTCACTGCACATGCTTTGGTGACACGTTGCTCCTGCCAAATAATTCCACTTAAGACCTTTGTTTGAATGCATGTATATGCACTTCAATCACGATTAAGATTAATATATAGACACAAAAAAAAAAAGCCCTAACCTGATCCAAATGCATTATGCAACGGTAGTGTGGGACCCGCTCTTCCAGCCAGTAGAAATAGACTATTTCAAATAGTCTTGTACCCAAAACACCCAACGGCGGCACTCGACCAGCACGTGAATGAATGCGTGATGCGAGCCTGGGTGGGCCCCCGGGTACACCTGTCACCTCCGTGGCCACGGCCGCGCCACTCCAGCCGACCACGTGTCCCCGAAGGCCCGAACGCCTCCTGTTAAATCCAGAATGTGCACGGTGTATACCCTCATCCGTTCCCGTTCCCCTCGCCGACGCTGCCCAGTTGCATTGACTCCTCCCCGGTCCCCCACCGCCCTCCCCCTCCGGCCATGGATGTGGACGGGCCCACCCCCGCCAAGCCCGCCTCGAACGGCGAGGCCCCCTCCGGCGCCCACGAGGTGGACGTCGGCGAGGAGGAGGACACGCTCGCTGGCGTCCTCCGCAGCTACGTCAACGGCGTCTGGTACCCCGACGACGAGCCGCTGCTACGGCGGCTCCGGGCGGCGTCCTGCGAGGCCGCGCCGCGGCTGAGGGGCGCGTCCCGGAACTCCGCGCGGGACCTGCTCGAGTGGACCAGGCGGGGCAGCGGCCTCCGCGCCATCCTCGTCATCTCGGTGGGCCCCACGCCTCCTTGATCCGTCACATAAGCATGAGTTTTCCTTGCCCTGTTTACTACTAAATCTGACTCGATGTTCTGTAATTCATTCATTGTTTGCGCGACTTGAACAAGTCTTTATAGGTGATTGCTTAGCAGTACACTTGTTTTAGTCTGTGCTTCAGTCAATAGGATTACTGTGTCATAGTCGCCATTGCAATGTTGGTTTAGATTGGTACTTTTTAGGTCTCAGGGGCCAAAATGTTTACAAAATCTGTTGAGGGAAATGAAGAATAGACTGAATTGTAATCCCTCTTGTCCTGAGATATAATAGGATCAAGTTTGTCCTAAATCAAACTACCTTAAGTTTAACTAAATTTACAAAAAAAATGTATTAACATCTACAACCTCAAATAGATAAACTATAAAAATAGATTTCATAGGGTATCAGGATTTTTAATAGTGCTCATTTAATATCATAAATATTATTGGTTGTTTCTTAAAAAAAAAACTTATCAAACTTAGGTTAGTTTGACTTCAGACAACTCAAAATCCACTGCATTTCTAGGTGGAGGGAGCATGTGTAAGTGGAAACAAAAACATGGTAGATTACTTTCACTAGCAATACAACATGGTAGATTGCTTTTGCGTGCAGTTTTGATCCCATATAAACTCTTACTGATATCTCGCCTATAGTTTGGCATCCATTTTAGGAATTCTTGAAATTTCTTAGTAAATACTGTAAATTTTCCTCATTTTGCCCTTTTCTGATGTGGCAGGTCGGGACAATCACACTTATAGCATTGACTGGCCTTCTGATCTTCATGTTCTTCCTGCTGGTTGCCACTGCTAATGCAATCATCGTCTCAGTCCTGATGTCACTGGCTGCTGCCGGAGGATTCTTGGCTATCTTCTTTGCTTGCTTAGTTGCAGTGTATATTGGAGCAGTATCAGTTGCTATCTTTGCCATTTCTGCGACTGTCATCTCAGCAGTTGTTGGAGTTATGATTGCTACAGGTAAATCATCTATATTCCCCTATAAAAGATTGTACTGCTGTTGAAATATTAATATGCAATCGACCTTCAGGCATAATATAAAACCTTAAAGACTTTACCTGAATCTCCAACCATTATAGAAGATCTGCACTTCTGCGTCTGAAATTAATTTAGTCAATGTTAATATGGTGAAACTGTAACAAATGTCTCTTTTCAACTGAATTATCATCTCAATCTATGCACTTGCCCATGTAATAAAGTTAGATCAGGAATCAGAAAATTAGTATTGGCTACTTCCCACAGGGTGCCTACGTGCTCATCTTAGCATCAGAATCAGAATAGAGTCATGAACGCATTAAATCAACAATTAAGGAGAACCAAATGTTGGTTGCCCATTGTTATATGCTTAACAGTAAATTGACTCTTTTGTATTAATATTTTAAGATCTTTTAAGAACAATGATGATTGATGACTAACAATGGAAGAAGTAAGAAGTTATTGTGCTATATGGTTTCAGTGACAATGAGTATGCTTCCTAATTCATTAGGACAATCACATAAAAACGTCTGTACTATGTAATTTTGGTGATTTGTTTATAAGTTGTGCTTGTTTTCCTTGACATTGTGGTCACTACTAACTAGGAGAACCATGTAGAGACATCTATATATTGTAACTTTGGTGAATTATTGATACCACTTCCGGTTTTCTCTTTAACATTCTGTTTTTCTACAATTAGGAGAACCATGTAGAGGCATTTAAACTAGTTCATAAAAGCTTTTGAAATCTCATTACAATTCGTTCAAGAAACAAGTGTTAAATAGAGTTGAAGAGATTCTACTGCAAAATGCAAATAATTACATTATGTTCCTCCTTTAATGTTGGGTCAGCATCTAAGATGTGATGAAAGGTATGAACTTGCAAAACTAAAGATTTTCAAAGGTATTATCAGGAAAAAGTAGCAGAACTGAAATTCTGGAAGAATTATGAATGCAACAGTTAACATTTTAAAACTTGTGAATGAAAAATGTAGGTGAGGTCAATTTACTGCATGTCAAATTGAGTTTCCAATTTCCACCTTGTCCATCCCAAGAAAAGAGTTTCATTTCTTATAAATCATTTCCTCCACACGACTTCCTGTAAGGCTATATCAAATTGATAGTCTAGGATCTCTTGTCAATTTCACCTTCTTTTTACTTTAGGAGAGTAAGTAGTCACAACAGCACCTTCTCCACAAATTAGTGGAGAATAAGTAGACATCAAACTAGATCCCCTGGATAATGGGGAATAAAGTGGCATAGCTTTAGCAAAAATAGCTGCAGTTATGATTCTCTTTTTAGAAATTTCATAGAGATTGTGATGCCCAATATCTAGAAGGGTAAAGCACGGAAAAATCTGTCTTGACAAAGCAGTTTCCTTGCAGCAAGAATACTCTTTTGAGATTTGTTGGGGGAGTAGCATATCTTTGCCTTCTGAGTCTGAGGACCTGCTTTGTATCACGTGTGCATTGTGCTAATGTTGAGAAAACGCATCCTACTGCAGGTTGGGTTGGGTTCTTCTGGATGATCTTGTTCACCGCAAGGAAGAGTTTGGACCTGACGAAGCACTCTATTGGCGTGACGAGCTCGGCGATCCAATCATACTCGGCGTCCCGGCATGTGAACCAGAAGCCGGTCGACTGAGGCTAGCTGGTTGCGTCCTGTATGAAGCCCTCGGGTCTATCTATGTGAATTACGGTTTGGCTGTTTGTAAGAGTGTAGGAGACAGACATGTTTGTTGCGGCAGCTCTGTTTCTCTCGGCGACTAGCTGTATAACACTAGCTCTGAACTTTGGCAGCCTGTACGTTTGGCATGGCGGCCAATGCTGTTCTTTCTGTATGGGATAGTGAGCAGATGAACTTTGTAGTGAATGAATAGCCACCGCTACCTGTGCAGGTATGCAGTATGTACATGTCCTTCTTGAGTTGATCATAATAATTCCATTGTCTTTGTTAATAGGGACATACACATTTTGAGCTGTCAAACCATTATTCGAACAACTATCCCAAGAATACAAGTAGGAGTATTTACAAGGCAAGGAACATTTCCATGGATGGAGTTAACAGGATCGGAATAGCAAGCGCACACACGATGCGATGGCTAAGAACGCTGGAAAGCATGCAGCAGCAGCAGCCACACCGATTTTGGTATTCAGTAGGTGCGGTCGCGGCCGACGAGGGAGAGGAGGAAGGTGCGGTAGTGGCCGGACGTCTCGGCGTGGATGGCGTCGGCGAGCGATCGCTTGTACATCCGGTGGTACTCCGCCTTGATGAACTGCATGTCGATCTCGGCCCTGCTGACGACGACCCGGATGAGCGCCGAGTCCGAGGTGCCCAGCCCCTTCATGGCCTTGTGCAGCACCCTGGCGAAGTACCTGGCGGGGCTGTCGGCGCATCGCAGCACGGTGAGGAGGCCGAAGCAAAAGTTGCCCGACGTCTCGCTCTTGACGGCGCTTTCCAGGGATCGGTCGTACATGTGGTGGTACGCGCGCGCCACGGCCGCCATGTGCGCCCAGCTCCGCTCGCTGAAGACGCGGATGAAGGCGCGCTCGTCCGTCCCCAGCCGCCGCTCGCCGGCCCTGTAGAGGTCGCGCGCGTCCAGCGCCACCGCCGCCGGGTCCACCACCTCGCCGGGGCCGCCCTCGGCGAGCGGGACGGCCAGGTACGCGAGCAGGAGCCGCTGGTGGTCGCCGGAGGTCCGCTCGGTCAAGTCGTGCTCGACGTGGCAGCCGAACCTGGCGCGGTACGCCTGGCGCACGACCCGCAGCTGCGACGGCGCCCGGGAGCAGACCACCTCCGTGGCGGCTCGCAGGTCGGTGACGTCGCCCGTCAGGGCCTGCTTCAGGATGGTGGCGTCGCGCGTTGCCGGGTCCAGGACCCACAGCAGCATGGCGCGCTTGTGGTTGCCGCTCAGCTCCGACGCGATGCGACGGGCAAGGTCCTGGTTGAACACGGCGCGGTACTCCTGGCTGATCGCCGCGCGCTGCGCCGCGTCGCGGTGCGCCAGGATGCTTATCACCGTCGTGCTGTCGCACCCGAACCCTTGGAACGCCTTGTGGAGGTCGATCGCGTCCTGCCGTGGCCACGTCGGCACCGGCGGCACCGTCAGGCTCGCCATCCCTGTCTGTCCCTGCTAGCTGGTGTCGAGTGCTCGATCGAGCTCTGCCTCTGCCGCACGGGGGTCGGGGGCAGCAAGCCGTCTCCGCTGGTGAGTGGAGTGATGATGATGACCCTCCTTCCTCGCACACGGGCATTTTAAAGCAAGCGGCGCGAGAGAGATGCGGCGATTCCGGGCAATGGCGGCCGTGGGATGGACGACCGCGGGCGGTGGGCGCCCACGCCACTATCACGGTATCAGTCGCCGGGACGCCGGAAGAAAACACTAAAAATTAGGACAACCAAAACAATGGATGCCTCCTTATCCAGAGCATCTCCGCGCCATGCAGCCATCAGCCATGGCCTGCCCGACTTTCGGTTCATGCTTGCTTGACGGACCGGTGTGGCGCCCATGAAAGATTCGACCTTGCGCCAATTAGCTGCAGGTTACTCGTTGAGGGGGTATGTCTAGCTGTGCTTGCGTCTAGTGACTGGACGCGCCAATTAGCTGCATGTGATGCACGTTTGAGTGAAAAGAAGAAATCTGGTAGAATGATTGATTTTTTGGTAAACAACCTGGGGTAAACTTTGAGTCTCGTTGCTTAGCAATATAAAACATTTCACTTTAAAACATGTCTTGTACGTGAGTATATGAGAAATGCGATGTTTTCAGGATGCAGTTTGGTCAGATGTGAAGGTGATGCTAACTCCAATTGTTACTACCTTTTATTTTCGTGAATAAATGAACTAAAGCGAAATGAAAAATATGTGATTTTTTTAGAATTTTTTTTTTTATGCACGAGGGCTTTGCACTCTGTAGGCCTTTCGGCATCTCAGGAGTTGCGCGGGTCAAAAGCTAGGTTGGGTCGGACCATTATTCCTGCCAGAGTTGGGCCGGATACCATGGGGCGTCAACGTGCGCTGTAGCTAGAGAGATGGAGAGAAATAAAAAGTCTCGTGTCATTTTTATATATCTAGAAAAAAGTATTGAGTCTTAAACCAAAGATAACTTCACCTGGGCTGCTGCAAATTCTTTGAATATCTGACCTATATACCATTATATAAAATAACATCCCAACCTTTACATGCCATCGATGATTAGTCAACACATTAGAGTTTATCTAGCCACTTCAATCCACCACAATCCACATATATTGCGATACAAAATCAACTAGTTTTTCACCATATCCACCCTAATACATATAGATCGAGTTAGGTTAGAGTGTAGCTAAACGTAATCTTCGGTGGGTCATAAATTACAATGGTGTAACCTACAATGAGGGGCTTTGGTTTGGACTCCTCGTCCTAGCTAGTTTTGGTGAAGACGGTTGTGCCATTCGACTTCCTTCAACCACCACACCCTGGGCATTGTGGTATGGTGTCAAGTTCTTTCGCCATGCTTTGGCCCCGACTCTTAGTTCTTCCCTTGGCAAGCTCCTTGGTCGTTGGAGCTTCTTAATTGAGTGTATCCGTTGGAGCTTCTTAATTGAGTGTATCCTCATCTATGCAAAGAAGTACACTTCTTGGGCATGGTTGATGTTGGTTGATGGGCCCCGTTGGTTCGGTAAGTGTACTTTTTTGGTGCCTCTGCTCCATTGACGTCTGTATTGGTGGCATTACCAAATCAAGTGCTAGAGGTGGTGTTCATTCCACCTCTTCTGTCATTCTTCTTCGAGGCAATCTCATATTATATGAATTTGGATGGTGGTATATGGAGTCGGGATGTGCTGTAAATGGTGTTGTCTATAGTTTGAAGAGAAATTATTGTGTTTGGTGAGATTCGGTTCATTCGTCACCTTTTGTCCCCATTTCGTTGGGCGGCCCCTCAAGAGAAGAGTGGCTTAGCCACAAGGAGTGGTGTGAATGTGTAATGTCCACGGTATGGCTAACAAATAAGTTACTCCGTGGTTGCTCTTTTTGGGTCATCGGTGGTTGTCTCTCAGCTTGTGTCTTGGCTTTGTAATCTGTGCTTCTAATCAGGGACTAAACAAAATTACAATGGAAAAATAAAAATTGATCCCTTATAAAAAATTAAAGGACACACAAAGCAAAACCGAAGCACCTTGTTCCCCTTCCATTATAAAAATTGACCAAAATATAATACTATCATCTCAATTAAGAAATACAAACAAGTATTTTATCAAATTGCTTCAAACTTCCTGGTAGTAAAACTCGATTTTAATTAAGTCTTTTAATCTAGCAAGGGTGCTTGTATTCTTATACTAGGATTTAATGGCGCTAAATACTGTTATGTGGTGTGTCCGTCGACAGCGATACGTGTATTGCTAATTCATCAATGTCAACATATTTGCTGGATCAATCTATGATCTATGAAAGGTGTGTTCGGAAACAAAAAAAAAAGTAATACCGACTTGCTAGGACTAGAACGTTGGCCGTTACCTATTGACTTATTGGCCTATTGCGTCCGTTTATGTTTCACGAGTTCTGCAGCCGCGAATTCAATGGACGCGTTACTCTCGTCAACATTTTCGGCATACATGATTCCTATATGGACCCTAAAACTCACCATCGTTAGGCCGATGAATAAAGTTTGCGACTTTTGTGATCACCCAGTTGTTCAAGACTGGTAGATGCTAATTCTCGATTCTTCCAATCTGACGTGCTCCATCAGAGTCCAGTCACACAGGAACAACAATGTGAAGAAGATTACCACCACAAGATTAGATTCAGATCCATCGAGCAGCAGTTTTAAGTTTGATTATTGGGCATTTTCAGTAGCAGTGTGCAACAGTTCTTCATTTGTTGGTCAATGTTTCAGGTAATTATTGGGCCAATCATGCGTGCTGCTATGATGATCATCTCAGTACTTCAAAGTGAGACTAGCCTGTTCCCAAAGAAAAAAAATATAAAAGTAAGACCAGGAGCAAGTAAACATATCATCGCTTTCAACAACTGCCAACTAGCTTCTAGTTCATAATAAAAACATGGGCATTCTTCAGAGATTGGGACAATCTAGATAGGAAAGAGTATTATGGCTTGTTTGATAGAGCTTCTTCTAATCCTGACTCTTTATGGGAAGTGAATCTTTGATAAGATGTTCCTGTGTGGAATTAATTCTTATGATTCTCTACGATAAAATCTACGTAAAAACTAAAAACCGATTTTATGCACTGCTTTTGGACGGGCCAGGCTCCCGAGATGCACCTCAAGTCCGTTTGGATGCCTGCTCTATGGCCTGGGCCAGGCTCCCGGGGTGCAAGCACACCCAGCCGGCCAAGCTCCCAGGAAACGAAAATGAGACTCGTTTCTCCGTGGCCTGGCTCGCGTGGTGCGTGCTCTGCGGATGGATTTGGATCCAATTTTTATGCTAAGAATCCAATTTTTGGGATCAGATAGAGTTAGTTTTCCATCAAATCTATAAATTGCTTGAGGCCTTGACGATAATTTAATTCAATTAAAGATGCCCACGAGGTTCAATATGTCAACTCGATGCAATATATTGACCCTTTTAGTTTAGGAGTACACATGCATACTCCCTTTGTCATTTTTTAAGTGTCGCTATGGTATTCGTACTGGTTAAGCTTTCTTCAGTTCGACTAGATTTATAGAAAATAATAACATTTGTATCTCCAAATAAGTTAATTATAAAAATAAATTCAATGATTTATGTAATTGTACTAATTATGTACATAAATATTAATATATATATGGTTAAAGTTTAAAATGATAGTTAAAAAAGGGACGGAGGTGGTACATGACATCAGATACATTCTGTTCCTGAACCGTCGTCCACAACCAGTTCCACCGTTGCATCCCTCTAGATGTCTCCTAGGGGCTGTAACCTTGGGCCCTTCTGATTATGTTTTTCTTTGGTAACAAAAAGGTGCTGATTTTTGTGAGGTCTAGGTTTGTTCAGTAAGTACGCTGGTGCATGCAGAGACTTTGACGACTCCACTTAAACGTGTGGGTGGCTAGATGCTTATCATGTATCTCCTCCTGTCACCATCATATCTAGCGTGGTAGCGCCTCCTGCACATTGTTATTGTGCCAGCGTTCTCTCCTTCCTTGCCACCTATGCATATATGGTATCTGTCCAGACTTGTTCATCTCTGAACCTTCCCTGCTACCTCATCCCCTCCAATTAATCCTTGAATGCTCCCTAGTCCTTGCTGAAAGAGGCGCCAAGGCCGCTAGTCGGTGATCTGTCAAACATTTCTTCGTTGTCATGGAGAAGAGCCAAGAGCTTGCACAAGTCTTCCATGAGTTCCATCTATCTCTGCAGAAATGCAAATATATGTTCAGATAACTTGTGCATCACTGACATGAACTCGTCTCTCATCTATTCCAGATGGTCTTGCCAAGATCAGTGGCGAAGCTTCTGCACCATCGTCTCAGTTCCGAGTTTGCAGGCCTGGATAAGAGCAGCACCCTGCTGCAACTGCAACCTGGGCAAAACGAGTCCATCAAGTACAAGTGAGGATTCGTCCCCTTGAAGCATCTTGCGTAGATGAAGATGAACTGGGTTCGTGTCATATGCAATTGGCAAATAAGTTTCCACGGTCTGATCTGATTCTGATGCAGGGTGTTTGCTGGTACATGGAATGTGGGTGGCATTGCGCCGCCAGATGATCTGGACCTCAAGAACTGGTTGGACTTGGACACCACGGCAGGATCCTGCGACATATATGTTCTTGGGTACTTATTGCTGATCCTTCTGATTCTGAACTGTGCTGTCGTCAGGTTGCATTGCTCTAGTAGCAGTACAATTTATGATGTTCACGAACGTACTTTAGGTTCCAAGAAATCGTGCCATTGAATGCGAGGAACGTGCTTGGCCCTAAGAAGAGATCGGCGGCCATGAAGTGGAACTCCCTCATAGCTGACGCACTGAACAACACGAGAAGAAGAAGAAGACAAGGAGGAGGAGGAGGAGCCATGTCAGGAAGCAGAGAAGCGGCGCAGTCACAACGGCACCAAGACCAGGATGTGTTCAGGCGCGTCACGAGCAAGCAGATGGTGGGCATCTTCGTCTCGGTCTGGGCGAGGAGCGCCCTCCGCCGGCACGTCCGCCACCTCGCCGTATCCTGCGTTCGTGCCGGCGTCCTCGGCCTGCTCGGCAACAAGGTACGTACGCACGGACACAGATGCACACACGCCGAAATGGAGTAGTAAACAAGGCAACTCGCATGATCCATGACCGTGCACGTACGCACAGGGGGCGGTGACCGTCCGGTTCGTGCTGCAAGGAACGAGCTTCTGCTTCGTCTGCTGCCACCTGTCCTCCGGTAGCGACGAGGGCGACGTGCTGCTCAGGAACGCCGACGTGGGGAGCATCCTCTCGCGGACAAGGTTCCACGGCCGTGGCAGCACGGAGGCAGAGGCGTCGCAGGAGCTGCCCCTGCCCAAGAAGATTCTTCACCATGAGTGAGTAGGTCGTCTGAGTTAGTATTCTAGGCGTTCTAGAAGCGGCAGCTCACTAACCATGAGTGAGTAGGTCGTCTGATGGAATTCCTGTGTTCGCTGTCACCTCACAGCCGCGTGGTGTTGCTCGGCGACCTCAACTACCGGATCGCCATGGATACGACGACGCTGGTGAGGACCAGGAAATGGAGCATGTTGCTGGAGAACGACGAGCTGCTGCTGGAGCTCTCCAAGGGCCGGCGGTTCGACGGCTGGCACGAGGGCCTCGTCACCTTCGCCCCAACCTACAAGTACCACCGCAACTCCGACAAGTTCTACTGGTGCGCGGACGGCGCCGATAGGGGCCGCCATCGGAATTCGAAGCAGCACCGCGCGCCGGCATGGTCTGACACCCGAACCCGACACATCACACATCGATCGATCGAATCGCGCCATGCCATGATAGGGTGATCAGTAGTGACACGCTGTTGCTGCTGTGATTTGCAGGTGCGACCGTATCCTTTGGCGCGGGGATGGGATGATGCAGACCCGGTACGAGAGCTGCGGCGGCTACCGGCTCTCTGACCACCGGCCAGTGAGGGCGGTGTTCCACTCCGTGTGCGAGGTCGCTAAATAGTGGCGAATCTAGCCGAAAACATTGTTGGGTCATCGGGGTCAACTTTATTATGTGATATAAATTTTCGTAAGTTTGAACAGTAATTTACAAAGAATTTTACAAATTTCATCGGGGGCGGCGGACCCTGATGAACCCCCTTAGATTCGCCGACGCTAAAGGTGTATAGATATATATAAGTGAGCAGATATTGTGTGCTCTGAAATACAGTTAACCAATGAGGCATCGAGACATTGTAAATTTAAGGGGTTGCATTAAAAACAAAAATTTAACAGAAGGACGGAAACAGCTCAAATTCTACAGGCGTACCTCCATGGCTTCCTCTCCATGCCTTGCCTGATGACAAGGGACGTGCTTTTTCGGCTTTTTACTAGACCATTAACCCAGGGGGTAAAATTTTAAGAGACATAAGTACATAACTCATATAACCAATCAAAATCGTTTTTTCTTCGCGCTTTCTCTTTTGCTTCATCTTCTAACTAGATACTTTAATTTATATAATATCAATCTAGCTGTGATTAATTTATCAGGTACTCTGCGTGTGTTACTTTTCCAATCAATATACATATTTTTTCACCGTTTGTATGCCACTTCATGATTGTTCAATATGCGACTAGTTTAAATCTTAGTTTAAACTATGGTGGCTCATGTTGCAGCCCATGCCCCATGACGTTATCAATCTAAATTTTGACTGTTTCTCAAAAAAAAAATCTAAATTTTGACTTTCAAAATTTTATCTTATTAATTCCAACAGTTCTTTTTATCTGCATATTAAGTTAACATTTTTATACTTATTTTATTAAGACTCCTTAGTAAAATAAGGACTTTATTTCTTTTATTGTAGTCTTAATTACTATGATAGTGTAAATGGTAATTCAAGATTTCACCACACCGCTCAAGACCGCTGAGCTTGAAGAGTGAGGTCAAGGATGGGCCAACAATACTAATTTCAAGGGAATTTTTATAAACCAAGAATGCCACGGCCATCTTTGTCCTACAATAGCCTCTCCCACTGTTCAAGATGTTGAATTTTTCTATCAAAGAATTATACATTCTAAGGGTATCACATCTGCAAATCGATTAACAGGGGCGACACCCATAAGGAGCCGGTCTCTGGAGAAATAGTTGTATTAAAAATAATTCAAAACTTTTTTTATATGAAGTCAGATGAAGATGAACATTATTCCAAAATTATATCTACAACACTGTAGTTAATAATTTTCTATTTTGAAACTATTTAGAAAATTTATTTTAATTTCTCAGAATTTGAAATTTAATTTAATTTTTTTGAATGGTCTTAGATGTTGATATAGTCTACACCACAGTTTTAGTTAATGTGTTCTACAACTTTGTAGTCGCCAAGTTTTTGACTAGAAGTCGTTTAGAGTCAAGTTCTTAGATTTTAAAATTTAAATTTTAAAAAGTTCAGACAACCTCGAATATTGAATTGTCAGTAACAAATTTGTAGTTGCTGATGCAATCTACAACTCTATAGTTGACAAGTTTTTTATTCAAAGTCATAACTTTGTAGTTGAGAAGTTTTTTATTCAAAGTCATAACTTTGTAGTTGACAAGTCTTTTTATTAGAAATTGTTTAGAGTCCTAAATATTCACTTTAAGTTATTTTTATATTTTGAGATTCAAATCTTTGAAATTTTCAAACAATATTGGATGAAGACACCTCATATACCAAAGTTGTAGTTCTTGACAAGACAAAAAAAAACCTTTGTAGTTATTTTTTCATTTGAGATCATTTAGCGGTCAAAATATTCAACACAAGGAAGTGGGAGAAGTAGTAGCTACTCCCTCCATCCACAAAAGCATACAATTCTAGCATAGTACTAAGGTAAAAGTATCTTGAGCTTGACTAACTATAATTAAAAAAATATTAATATTTATAATATCAAATAAATATCATTAGATTTGTCATGAGATATATTTTCATATACTTATACTTATTCGATGTCATAAATTTTAATATCTTTACCTATATATTTGGTCAAACTTTAAGCACGTTAACCAAGAATACACCTAGAATTGTATTTTTTTTATGCACAGCGGTAGTATTAATACTGTGATACGGGCAGTTGCAAATGTGAAAACAGTATTTATTGCAATAGTAATACACTTACAGAGAGGTCCTAAAAAATACACTTCAAAATACTACTCTCACCTAAAGAAGCGATACTTCTTGACCTTGACCCAGGTTGGATGTTTGAAGTCGACATTTTGTAATCATCGTTTAGTATCAATCAGATATATTTTGTAATTGCAGCTACCCGCAGCCTTTGGTTTTGAGTCAATATATTTCGTGATTTATCTGTTGATACTAATTTTGCATTATACATAATTGATCAAAATTTAAAATATTTGACTTTGGAAAGTGAAAATGACATTCTTTGTGGGAGTGAGGGAGTATGCATGGAGTCATGTCAGGGTAGCCTTACCATGCCTTCACATCTTTTGCTTACGCGTTTCACCAAAATGCTGCTCTAGCTAATCATCGTTTTGTTATGTATTTTTGGACATGCGAATCATGCTATGATGTCTCTAATTTGATGTCTCTGTGAATATGGAAGAAGCTAGTGGTGTGGTCACTGGTCAATTACAAGCTACTAATTCACATAGTGATGCAGGGCTACTGGAATCTGAGAAGAAGCAACTGAAACCTGCAAAATTAAATGTATGCTATACTGTTTTTTTTTTGTGAACGTGCAGTGAGATGCATCTGCTTGCAAGAGGAATCACATTATACTGTTTTTTTTCCCAGTCATAACTATCAATTTAAAGCAGCTTAACAAGATTTTGTGAAACAACAAAGCCAACAAATAATGCAGAGTAGAGCATATCCAGTGGCAGTACACGACGGTAAGAACTTAGAAATAAAATAAACAGAAATGCTATACAACAACCGGGTGTTCACACGAAATTTTTTGGCCGTAGAACCACCCATCCGCTGCGCCCACGTCGCTGCCGTGCTTGCGCCTGCCCGTCCCCGCGCCGCCGCCGCCGCCGCACCCGACGTCTTCTCCAACTCCGGCGACCTTCTTCTTCCCCAACTCCGGCGCCACCACCAAGATCTGTCTTTATTCTTTTATAGAAAAAAATGTTATTTATGATCTGTGATTTGTTATTTGTGATTTGATATTTATGCCAAGAAGAGAGAGGAGAGGAGGAAGATGATGTATGGGGAAAATAATTTGGGTGTTACTAGGTGCTAAAACACCCGGGTGTTAGATAGTGCGTCGTCATCGTGGTACTCTTGTACTTCTCTCCTGTGTTTTGTACCAGGGAGGCTTCGAGATATGATCAGTCCGTAATCAGAATTTAACGCTAAAATCTTTAGCGGAGTGCATTGCGCAGATGTTAGATCGCTCGATCGGTCGACACGACGACGTACACCATCGGATGGATCCAAGTGCAGCCTGTTCGGTTGGCTGGTTCATATCGTTGCTGGTTCGTTTACGTGAGAGAGAAGTACTGCTGGCTGGTTCATATGAACAGTGTCCATGAGAGGGGGCTGGCCAGCCCAGCCAGCCAGGCAGCCCCAAAATTAACACGCTGATGATCTTTTGAGGAGCACATGCTTAGGACGAGAACATGTCACGGCTCACGCTGTCCCATCAATCATGGCGTGCATGGGCGGCGCCAGGGTATGCACCTATATGCCATGGAATACCCATATTTTGGGAACAAAAACAAATATATATACAAATGTATAATGATATAGCATGTTGGTATACTGGATGTTGTAAATATAGCCCACAAGCCCAATAGAACAACTAGCAGTAGCAACCCACAAAGTCATACACTCCAGAAAAACCCATTGACATCTTCCGACGCTCTGTGCTCCTGTCGCTCGTATCGAGCCATCGACCGGAAGCAGCCGGTGGCACAAACTGGCAGCACGGCAGCACCTCTCTGGCTCTCCCTCAGCCCCCTCGCATCTCCTAGCTCTGCTCAACTGCGCCTATCCGGCCCTAGCGGCCCGTGTCGAAGCCCACCGGGAAAGGAGCCTGCGGCGGCCTGCAGCAGAGGAGCATCTCCCCTTCGGGCTCTGACTGATCAGCCCTCCCCTCTGTCCCCATCCTAGCTTCGGCTCGAAGAAATATGAATAAAGATTTTTTTTTGCATTGTATTTGTAATTAGATGAAGAAGAAGGGTGCCAACGTATTTGCACTTTGCTTATTAGTATTGCATATTGTACTTTGCTTATTACTTATATTTGCATTGGAAATTTTTTTAACATGGAATACCCTGATGTGAAATCCTGGCTCCTGGCGTGCATCGACTTCGAGCCCCACTAGACATGGATGGGGACCTCCGACCTCCTTGTGTGGTGTCATGGCAGCCCTGTAGTAGCTTTCAGCGCGAGCTGAAATGGCCGCGACCCAAAGAGGACACGTGTGACACTGCTGATCTCGTCATGCACATATATAACCAGATCAGTGAGCTGAGTGCTGCCTAATGCCTATGCCCTGCCCAGTATATACCCATCATGGTCCTGGGAAAGGAGGTGACAACGATGGCGCAGCCAATTGCAGGGTTACACACGGTGCATGGGCCAACAGCACTGGTGTACGCATGGTTTGCTCCAAGGTCCCCCTTGTGTTAGGTACCACATGAATGAACGATAGTGCTGCTTGAAGGAACAGTTTGGAGCTTGCATGCATTGGGACCGCCACGATCGATCACACTCCCGGCATTAGGTGCTAGAGGTTTCCATTCCGATAAAAGTAGCTTTGCAACAAACCGAAACATCAGTATTAGTATACAGGTGCCAGACAGGATCTTACATTAGGTGAGCTGTGATCACTCTGTTGCATTGCTGATGGTAAGTCAGGGACTTTGTAGCAGGTAGGGCCATGTTAAAGCCCTGACCGCCACCTGTGGCTTATGGGCCCTGCGCCACCGTCCCACACCACGCCACTAGGCCCACCGCATGCCATCTCCAAAAGACCACACAACCCAAGTGCGTGGTGGACATGGGACGTGCCTTGGGG